AAAAAAACTGTGCCTATGTATTTTTAATATTTTTCAACTGATTTTGTAACAATATATCAGGAGCCTTGTATTAAATTTTTACACTTTTTGGCCCAACAGATAAAACTTTATTGATATTTATAGAAAAAAAACTAAAAAAAATTGAAAAATGAAAATATCCGTAAAAAGCTCAAAAAGAGTCAAAATATTTTCAAAATTGTATGGTGTATAGGAAATGCCAATATAAACATTCAGTGAAATTTTCATGTATCTACAGTTATTCGTTTTTGAATTACAACAAAATAAGGAAATCGCTACATGAGAAATCGAGTGAACATCCAATGTTGTAAAAATTTGAATTCAAACGATCATAAAAATTTAATTTTTTCTATTCTATTACATTTTAAAATCTTAGATTTAAAAGGAAAAATTTTTACGAATTCTTAACTCAAAATAATTCGCTAATTTTCGTGATTTTTCCATATTTTTACAATTTTTGAACTTTAAATGCTTATAAAAAAAAATTGTGACTAAGGATTTTTAATATTTTTCATCTGACTTTGAAACAATATATTAGGAGCCTTCTATTAAATTTTCAAGCTTTCGCAACCAACAAATAAAATTTGATTGATATTTTTAGAAAAAAAACTAAAAAAAAATGGAAAATGAAAATGTCCCTAAACAGTTCAATATAAATCAAAATATTTTGAAAATTTTATCGTGTATAGAAAATGCAAATATAAACAACCAGTGAAAATTCCATGTATATACGTTCATTTGTTTTAGAGTTACACCAAAAAACAAAATCGATTTTTTGGAAAACCAATTTTGCGTAAAAATTCCAGTTTTTCCTTAATTTTTATGTTGTTTTTCCCGACGCTTGTGAAAACTACTGGGAAATGTTTACTTTTGACCGCCCAAAGTACCAACTAGATTCACTTTCCTATCAGAAAAGGTACTATTGAAGAAAATCTAAGCACTTTTACTGTCCCAAAACGTGATGACAGACACAAAAAAATATAAAAATATATAAAAATATAAAAAAAAAAAACACACATCATTGTAAAACCAATACATTCATCGCTCCGCTCAGAATCTAAAACTAGTAAGTTATTTACCTTCATTCGTTCCATTGAGGATGAAAAAAAAACGACTCGAAAAGTCCCACCCAGATACCACCGCCGCTTTGATCTCAGAATAAAAGTTTTATTTTTCACTTTCAGTTGTAAGGGGCAGTGTTTTGGGTGATGTTTATACCTGTAATAATACAAAAAAGTATTTTGAAATTATAAAAGTTTGATATGTAGATGTTATTTATTAATAACCCCAAGTATATATTATGTATGATTCTTAGGCAAAAGGAAGTATTAAAAAAGAATAAATTATTAATTTCATATTTCCTTAGTATCCGTTATTTTCATAATTAATAGGTAGGTAATGAAGTATTTTAAAATTAAAATAATACAAATTGTTATTAATTTATCTGTATTTTTAAATACTTACGAAAAATGTTTACGTTTGTGATTTACAACATTTTGTCTCTTACCATAGATATGTGAATTGCCATTTGTATACCAAATGAACGCAGTAAACGGAATTAAAAAATAACGGCAATATAATTTAAAATTTATTTTACCCGACACACGCGGCAGAATTTGAAACATTTTCCAAAGAACTCCAAGTTCCAGAAGTTTAAAAGACGAGGAATATTATAAAATATTTTATGTTCATCATCTTGCATCTGCAGTGTGTAGATTTTTTCCGTTGGCTTAATGTGTTGACAAATGAACAGTGAAACCGACAGCTATCTACAACGTAGATACTATTGCTATACTATTACTATTTGTGTAATTTGAGCAATTTAGTGGAACAATTTTATTTCTTGTCATTCTAACTAAAGATTAGATTTACTATAGGTAGCTGTAGTTTAAGATCATATCTGAGCTAAATTTTTAATATTATATTATACCTACATATTTGATAATAGGTACCGTGTATAAAAAAACAATGATGAAATTGTATGTGGTATCTCCGTATATATATTATATATACAAGGTGATCCATTTAACGTAAGACACTTTATAGTTTAACCATCTAATTTTCATATAATAAGTTTTTGACCGAACATACTTATCAACATTTTTTTCGTATGATTGTAAATCTATTCAAATTCTTATTTCCTGAATATTTTTTCAAATTTATACCATTTATAAAAAGTATCTTATAGCAATAAAAGTTTCTTTTTTTACAAAGGAAAATCAAAATTTTACTAAAAATGACTGTGAAGCAGATAATTTGAAAAAAAATTAAGTATGAATTTAATTTAAAATATATAAGTAGACACTAGATCAGCGGTGGCTCGTGTATTTGTGCATAAGTGCATGTGCAATACCTACCCAAACTCAAGAAAAATGTAAAACATAAATCATCAAAAATACATCTGATTACTTATAGTGCAGTTATTAAGATTATTTTTAATAATAAAAAAACATAAATTCAGAATATTATGAAAATAATATACTATTTGGATTGGGTTATTACGATGGCCAACCAGCAGGGCGGTTATACATATTATATAACATAGAACAAAATCAAGCAATGAGAAGTGGAGAACTACGATATAGGCCGGAGGTGAAGGAGATGCGTATCTACTGAGCAAAACTAGTATAACTGTGATGATACCTATCTAATTTGTCATGATTTGTACAGTGAAAAAATTAAAACAAGTCGGAACACGCAACTCACGTTGTAATGGAATTGATATGCACATACAGTTTAGAACAACTATTACCCCCGTGACATGTCCATCCGTTATTTACCAGTAGGTACAATTAAGTACATAGTTACAATTGTTGATATTAAGATATTCATTTATTGTATATAAGTATTTAATATAATATGTAGATTCATACTAGCCTAATTACCTTATACTAAAAATATTATTAAGAAACGTGATATTTTATTTCGAGGTTTTAATTTTTACAAAAATATATATAATAAAATATTTAAAATAATTAATATAATGTGCTTTAAATGTGTTTTTTTTTTTAACAATACAGCAAATTTACATAATAGAATTTATAAATTGAGGGACGGAGTGGCCGAGTGGACTAAGGCGTCGGGCATGGCAGATACCTACGGGTGCCCACTAGAAATATTCGGATACTTATCAAAAAGTCTTAGTCATTAAATTAAATATATTTTATAATAAAAACATACTCATAAAACATAACACTTCCCTTCCAAGTAGTATCTCCGTAGTACTACCGTTTCACTGTTTTAAGGGGCCGGTGCCTGTTTTTCAACATTTTCAAAATTCTATAACATTTGAATATTATATTTATATTTTAGTTTCCACCTTAAATATAATACTTTCCCAATAATATACTAATATTACACAACAATAAATAAACCCGCCAACGACGGGTAATTCAGCTAGTATAATATAATTCAATATTGAAAACAATTACTTCATAGGAATAATTCTTAGGCATTGTTGAACTGTCGGATTTTGATAACTATTTTTTTATCTGCGTAAGAAAGAAGACTTCCTATAGGCCCCGCATTTTACTCCGATTTTTATTTTATTTATAATAACGGTATAATAAAAAAAGCTTAAACTGTATTATTTTTTAAACATATTATAAAGTTATTTTCAAAAACGGATTTCAATGCGTCCTAAGAATATTACCCTCTAATAGCTTAAAAAAATAATATATCATATTTGGATGATTCTATAGAACAGGATCATTATTCCCGTAGAGCGTACTTTTGTGAACAAAATTACATTGGCACCAAGCACTTTAACGGTAAATCGGTCCAAATGGATTCCAATTTTAATTATAAATGTTAAATAGTATTTATCACGACCTGTTGAAAAAAAATACTTTATATTTAGATATACCGTATTCCTACTATTTAGTATATGCATAGGTACTTGATGTTTAAGTTACATGTATATTATATATAATAGTACAAACTGTCCGCGTTTTACATTTTAAACGATTGACATCTACAGCTTACAATTTTATTTGTCAGTTATCACAGAGAACTGCAATCCATTATGCAACGAAAATACTAAAACAAATAAAATTATCATTGAAAAATGTATTCGTTTCTAAGTAATTTAATGAAATGCTCAACTCAAATATTGTTGACTCCAAGTCCGATAATACTTTTGGTATTCGTGGTTATCGGACACGACTCAAGATGTGTTGAGGCTGAAAGAAAGCATACCCAATAAAAAAAAAAAAATGAGTAAATTATAATTATAGAAATATATGAGCAATACGCATTACTAAATCGTGTTATAAACAATCACACAAGTAATACTCTAATACAAGTGCATAAGTAAAATATATATACATATACAGGGCACCCCAAATAATACATGAATAAATTATAACATTATCAATAATAGTATACACAATTAACAATTAAGTGAAAAAAATTCTTCTTTAAAATACGATTGGTCACTTTTCAGTTCATAACAATTTTCGAAGTAATTTTGGGACAGTGAATACCGCGTGAATGGACCACGTAGAAGTGAAAATCTCTATGGGCCGATACATATACCTACCAATCCAGCCCTCACAATTATTAGTCTTGGTAAGACCACAAATTAATTTCGACGGCTACTGGCTCGCTCTAATAAAAAAATTAGACAATAACGTAAAAACCAATGGAAACCTGATCGCCACGACCGCTCCACTCACAATTTTCGGGTCCCTTGCTTGAGAAATATGGGAGTACTTATTATTAGTACATACCTGTTCCAAGCTGGAACGGTGACAGCGAACTTGAGCCTAACTGTAAACCTCGCTGTGGTATATTATGACGACGGTCGATCGCACTTTAGCTAGGTACTTAGCTTGGTACTTTAGGTAGGTAAACTCACTTGTAGACCTATAGACGACGAACTATGAACGCGTAAAGGCTCGACCACGAGGTTTCCAGTAGTCGAACATACGACGTACAGCGACTTACCAATTTGCGCACAACCGGCGAGCCAACAATCGAAAATGCTCAGCAACGATAATGGTGGAGCCGAAAACGCTAAAACAACCAATACCAAAGACAACTCAATCGCGAGGTTTACGGCGGCCGAACATATTACAATAAGCGCAGAGGCGTCAGACGTTCGCAAAAGGACGGCACGCGAACACGACGACCGGCGGACAGGTATGAGCCAACTGCTCGGAACGGAACGACGGCTTAGCACAACAATTGACGAGTCGTCCGCGGTGTCCGTTGGTTCTGCCGGGACACTGCACACGGTGGCGACTGGCGGCAAACGGAAGCGACGTTGCGTGAATTTTATTGTTGTGCTAAGCCCAAGAAACAAACAAGACGTATTATGTACAGCAGTACGAGTACTCCCGGCGACCAAAAAAAGCAACATAATATTATAATTTTACAATGTAGGTCATCTGTGTAATTTAATACATCTATTAGACTGTTTATTAAATAACTCCATCAGTTAATGGATTTTATATATACCAAAAGATTATGTTGTTAGAAATGTGTTTTATTTGATAAAATAAGTAAAATTATAATAACATTTTGTAGATTGTAGATAATATAAAGTTACTCCTAATATCATACCATTTATTTGTCACGTAATAGTTATTATAAATATATTTCCAAAATATATGATGTTATAACTATTATAATATTATTATAATATGGTATAGAGTCTATCCGGGCCCGCCAAGCTAATTAATGTTTTGAAAATAATATATTTATTATATTATTTTCATTTAGTTTTTATTGTTTTAATTTTTTGAATTAATTAATTATTTTTTAGATTCTGAGTGAAACGATGAATGTATTGATTTTACAATGATGTGTGTTTATTTATTTTTTTTTTGTCTGTGTACACGATAAGTAGTCGAAATAATTCTTCGATTTTCGACTTCAGTATCTTGTTCGATTGGAAAGTGAATATCGTTGGTGCATTGGGGAGGACAAAATTAGAAATTCACAGTACTTTTCAAAAGCGCCAAGAAAAACAAAAGAAAAATTAAGGAAAAACGGGAATTTTTACGCAAAATCGATTTTTCAGAAAATTGAATTTGGTTTTCGGTATAACTTTAAAACAAATGACCGTAGATACATGAAATTTTCACTGGTTGTTTACATTTCCATTTTCTATACACGATAACATTTTCAAAATATTTTGATTTATTTTGAACTGTTTAGGGACATTTTCATTTTTCAGTTTTTTTTAGTTTTTTTTCTAGAAATATCAATAAAATTTTATTGGTTGGTTAAAAAAACTTGAAAATTTAATAGAAGGCTCCTAGTATATTGTTTCAAAGGCAGATGAAAAATATTAAAAATCGTTAGTCACAGTTTTTTTTTTATAAGCATTTAAAGTTCCAAATTTGACAAAATATGGAAAAATCACGAAAATTAGCAAATTATTTTGAGTTAAGAATTCGTAAAAATTTTTATTTTTAAATCTAAGATTTGAAAATGTAATACAAGATTACTCATAAGTTTGTCTACCATTATCAATAAAAAAATCTATACCGGACAGTGAAATTAAACTTTTATGAGCGTTTAAAATTCAAATTTTTACAACATTGGATGTTCACTCGATTTCTCATGTAGCGATTTCCTTATTTTGTTGTTATTGATAAACGAATAACTATAGATACATGAAAATTTCACTGAATGTTTATATTAGCATTTCCTATACACCATACAATTTTGAAAATATTTTGACTCTTTTTGAGCTGTTTACGGATATTTTCATTTTTCAATTTTTTTAGTTTTTTTTTCTATGAATATCAATTAAGTTTTATCTGTTGGGCCAAAAAGTGTAAAAATGTAATACAAGGCTCCTGATATATTGTTACAATATCAGTTGAAAAATATTAAAAATACATAGGCACAATTTTTTTTAATAAGCATTTAAACATCAAATTTTGACAGAATTTTTCAAAATCTCGAAATTTATGAATCATCGTAATTAATAAGTTATAAAATGTTCAGTTTTTATAGCTAAGGATTGAAAATTTAAAACAAGATTCCACGTAAGTAGTTAATTCTCTTACCAAAAAATCTAAAAAGTATACAATCACAGTTTATTTTTATAGTCATTTTATGTTCAAATTTGGACGAAATTACATATTAAAAAACCTAGTTATTTTATTGTGATTATATAATATTATTCGTGGGTACCTACTTGAAATTTCTAAAGTATACTATTATATATCTATGGTAGTATCAGGGTTTGTTATTGATGTTTATGTATAACGTGTTATAAGTACCTAATGGATATTGTGATAATGTGATATGATTAATTTGGAATTTATTATATAGGTCAATTTTTTTTTTAATACCATAGATATGTATATAATTTGTCTTAAACCTAGACTGACATACCGTCTTCGCTCAGAATCGTTTTTCTTATACAATGATATTATATCATTGAATTCAAATTTAATAGCATCCATTATACAGTGACCCACTTGTAACTAGAGCTCTCGAATTTGAACGTGAATTAAGATTCACGTGATCATGTGTTTTTTGTCCCCGTGTACTTAAATTTAAAAATCCGTGTATTTAATTCACGTGTAATTAATTAGTAAATCACGGATATTTATTTCACGTGTGCTTGAAACAATATTTACTGAACTCATTAAATTTTAATAATATATTTAAAAAGATATGTTAGCCATTGGAATATAAGCCATTGGAAGATATTTAATGTATTGATAATACAATTTTAAATGTTATAATAAACGCGTGATTTAATAACAAAATTCATGGACTCACGTGAAGTTAAATTTCACGGATTCACGTGTATTTAAATTCATAAATGCACGTAAATTTATTTCACGTGATTGCGTACGTGAATTTTAATTTCACGTGTATCCGTGAATTTAACTACACGTGAAATAGAGACCTCTACTTGTAACCTACTGTACAGCAGAGCGACATCCACTTACCCACCTTTTTTTCTTTTGGTGTTATGCGTAACAGCTTATATCAGTCATTTATACATATATACTAATTTCTTGTACTAACTTGTAATAGAAAAACTAGTTATAAAATAAAAAAGTATACGAACAAACATTAATTTTTCTAAATAAATCTTATCTATTCTTCAATTTCTTAACCGATCTATTACTCTAAAAATGTTTGGCCCACCTAATTAAAAATGAATCATATAAAATGTTAAAAGGACTTGCTAATTTTGAAAACTAACTTTGTATATTAATTGATATTTATTCACTATTTTTTGACATACATCTGAAGTGGATTGGGTAAAGTGGGTGGGCCAAGTTCATGGACGTCAATAACACATAAAAATATTAAAAATACATAGGCACCATTCTTTTTTATATGACATTTAAGCTCAAATTTTGACAAAATTCGTAAAAATCAAGATGATTTACAAATTATTTTGTATTTTAAAACATCCTAATATAATTAATTGGTATATATTATGAGTATATTAAAAAAAAAACCTTTTAAAAGACATAAGGTTACAAATGCCTTAAAGTAACATGAACATTTAGACATCTGAAACTAAATTTACACAGCACATTATTCCAATCAGTGGCACAACCAGAATTTTTTCAATACATTTTTCATGAAAATATAAGTCAATGTTTAATAATATTTAGAATTTGAGAAAATAAATAATAATATACTCATATTAATATTTTTGTAATTACAAAAAAAAGTAAAATAATTCGTAATATAAAATCTTAACGACATAATTATATTTAACACTTTCAGTGCTAAGTAATTATTTACATTGCTATACCTATCTGTACTGATTTTTTTTTTCTAAGTCTCATTTTATATAACGTATTTATAATTTCTTTAGATTGTACCTACTGACGTCAAAATTAATATTTACAGCAGCTAGTCGCCATAGAAATAAAATAAAAATACGTGACACTTAAAAAGTGATCGTTAAAAAAATTAATATTAGGTACATCATACATATAGGACATAGTACTATATTAGTAGCCAGTACTTGGTACACAAAATCAATTTTATTTTGATACTTGATTAATCAAGATGTGACTACTCGAACATATTGCTCATGTTATCGAGAGTCATGTGGCCGCCTTAAACATTTGACGGTCACCAACCACGGACCGAGACCAGAAAGCCGGAGTGCCGTGGATTTTTTAATAATAATTATTATGAGAATATGATACATTTGGACCAGTAATATGAAGGGTGATCATCAATGAAATAAGAAAAACCTTAATTTCGGGCAAAATATATAATATATTATGTTTATTTCATTAATCACTTAAGTTGGTGCCGAGAAAACCGACTGGCATAAAACTCGGTCAGAAGGTAATAATAATAAGGGTATGAATTTAGCAATAATAATAATAATATACAAAATAAAATTTAATTATAAATATAAAATCACACTCATCGCAAGGTTCCGACTGAGCGGTTCACCGGCGGGCGAAATAGGCATAAGATACCATATTTTCAATAATAATAATAAGAAACAATAATAACGCTTAAAGTACCACCGGTCACGGTAAGAATAATAATAATATACAAAACATTTACCAGTTAATAATGTGTTGTACCAGCAAAAAACCGCTGCTACTCGCTCATGTTTTTATTTTCGACGAGACGGGAAAAAGTATTGCTGGCTTTTTGCTCTGTCAGCCGATACCCGGTGATATTGGGTGGCACGAACAGTTGACATGTGGCAGGGGGGTTCACATATACGTAGATGGCGAATGAGTGACCGATACTCTAGGTATTTGGTTAAAGGTATGGTGATCGTTGGTGATTATAAGAACTTTATAATTATTATATCTAAGCCATAAGTACTAGGATGGGAGAGTGTGTGCGACTGCCGTACAGGTCATCGATCGGCGGACACCTGAGGTCCACATGATAGCATGTATTATCTCGTCACATGTCGCGCTCATAATGTGTACCTGCTGTATTATGACGATCCTAGAATAATAATAATAATGCATTGATTTTCGTTGGACGTCACAAAGATTATGCATACCTATATTTATATATAAGTTACCTAACTAAATATTATATAATAAAAAAAATTAAATGCAGCTATGTACCTACAATGCAAATGACGATGTCAATAAAGGTTTTTTTCATTTGTGTATAGTACCTGCCTATGCTGTTTTATACCTATCTGCCACCATATATTATAACTTATAAGTGTAACATGTTCTATAGAAAATACCGATTTAAATATTGTACGAAACGATTTTGCAAACAATTGTATATCATATTTAAAATTAATTTTATTTTTATGAATTAAATGTTTATATTATCATAATTTTGTAGTTCCTAATAAAATTAATTTCGATACATGTAAAATAAGGTATTCTTCAGTGATCATTTTTGATAAGCAAAAATAAAACTTAGTTACTTCCCCCAAGTG